ACTTTTTAAAAAGTAGGGAGACCTTAAAAAAAGGCGGGTAAAGCCCAAATCATAGACAGTGTGTGACTGTCTCAATACCAGAACAGTTTCACAATGAAAGGAGCCAGTGCCCAGTGTTACCAATAGGGATGGGTGGAGTCCCGCTATGAGAGGAGAGCTTGTAGGGCAGGGTGGTTGGGGAAGTCCGATAGAGAGGGAGAGCATTGATAGGGAAGGGTGGAGTCCCGCTAGAGAGGGAGAGCATTGATAGGGAAGGGTGGAGTCCCAGATAGAGAGGGAGAGCATTGATAGGGAAAGATAATGATAACAGTAGACCAGGCGGGAGCGGAGAACAGGAGACATGGAGATACATGAAGCTAACTGACGAGTCCGGTTATGCTTGCGTCTCAAATGAAATGTCTCCCTTTTCCCTAGTGCACTACTTTTCACCAGGGCCCATAGGGCATGTTATAAACGTGTTGTACAGTTACGTGATGAAATGTTATTGTCCTATTTACAAGCTCTTGATAGAGGGCTGGGCAACTGGCGCCCGCGGATCAATTTCCAAAAACGAAAACTTCCTGTTGAGTTAGAATAGTAGAAAATGGGAAGGGGGTACCTAGACAGTCACACAACTGAATGCATTCAACCGAAATGTGTCTTCCGCCCCATGGCGAAATGAGTAGAATTGCAGGGAATTACCTCTAAAACTTCCAATTTCGCTTAGGGACCCCAAAAGGCTAGGGCCGGCTCTGAATGCACTTGTGGGTATGAATGTTGATACGCAGACCCAGGAGCCAATGCGGCCCCTCAAGATGAGATTTTTTTGTGGCCCCCACCCCCATCAAAGTAGTCTATCCCTGTGTTAATAGGTATGTGATACTGTAGTTCTAAATGTTTACAACAACATCTTTACGCATCCTACAGTCTCCCTCTCTCCCTCTCTCCCTCCCTCCCTCCCTCCCTCCCTCTCAGACTAATACCTTGGCAGTGGAATGTCAGGAGCATTAGTGTCTTTAAATAGCCTTCCTCTACATTGGGCTCAGCTAAGTCAGATGACAGCAATACTGCTGTCTAAATGGCCCCCATTGTCCCACAACTAACAGCCTGCTGCCTCTGCGTGTGTATGGTCTCTCTCTCTCTCTCTCTCTCTCTCTCTCTCTCTCTCTCTGTGAGTTCTAATGGAAGGAATTCTAGATGGCCCGATTAGTGTGTTCAGTAGTAACTAATCATTCCATCTGTTTACACTGTCTGCTGCCTGCTTCAACAGTGTGTGTTCTAGTTGATTATTGGGAATGGGACTTGGACTGGGAGACTAGTAAAGGTGTGGTACCACCAGGCTCCACCTTGTAGTTGTGGTACCACCAGGCCAACCTTGTAGTTGTGGTACCACCAGGCTCCACCTTGTAGTTGTGGTACCACCAGGCTCCACCTTGTAGTTGTGGTACCACCAGGCTCCACCTTGTAGTTGTGGTACCACCAGGCTCCACCTTGTAGTTGTGGTACCACCAGGCTCCACCTTGTAGTTGTGGTACCACCAGGCCACACCTTGTAGTTGTGGTACCACCAGGCCACACCTTGTAGTTGTGGTACCACCAGGCCACACCTTGTAGTTGTGGTACCACCAGGCTCCACCTTGTAGTTGTGGTACCACCAGGCTCCACCTTGTAGTTGTGGTACCAACAGGCTCCACCTTGTAGTTGTGGTACCACCAGGCCAACCTTGTAGTTGTGGTACCACCAGGCTCCACCTTGTAGTTGTGGTACCACCAGGCTCCACATTGTAGTTGTGGTACCACCAGGCTCCACCTTGTAGTTGTGGTACCACCAGGCTCCACCTTGTAGTTGTGGTACCACCAGGCCACACCTTGTAGTTGTGGTACCACCAGGCTCCACCTTGTAGTTGTGGTACCAACAGGCTCCACCTTGTAGTTGTGGTACCACCAGGCCAACCTTGTAGTTGTGGTACCACCAGGCTCCACCTTGTAGTTGTGGTACCACCAGGCTCCACATTGTAGTTGTGGTACCACCAGGCTCCACATTGTAGTTGTGGTACCACCAGGCTCCACATTGTAGTTGTGGTACCACCAGGCTCCACATTGTAGTTGTGGTACCACCAGGCTCACATTGTAGTTGTGGTACCACCAGGCTCCAACATTGTAGTTGTGGTACCCACCAGGCTCCACATTGTAGTTGTGGTACCAACCAGGCTCCACATTGTAGTTGTGGTACCACCAGGCCAACCTTGTAGTTGTGGTACACCAGGCTCCCACATTGTAGTTGTGGTACCACCAGGTCCACATTGTAGTGTGGTACCACCAGGCTCCACATTGTAGTTGTGGTACCACCAGGCTCCACATTTAGGGTACCACAGGCTAACATTGTAGTTGTGGTACCACCAGGCTCCACATTGTAGTTGTGGTACCACCAGGCTCCACATTGTAGTTGTGGTACCACCAGGCTCCACATTGTAGTTGTGGTACCACCAGGCTCCACACTTGTAGTTGTGGTACCACCAGGCTCCACACCTTGTAGTTGTGGTACCACCAGGCTCCAACATTGTAGTTGTGGTACCACCAGGCTCCACATTGTAGTTGTGGTACCACCAGGCTCCACATTGTAGTTGTGGTACCACCAGGCTCCACATTGTAGTTGTGGTACCACCAGGCTCCACATTGTAGTTGTGGTACCACCAGGCTCCACATTGTAGTTGTGGTACCACCAGGCTCCACATTGTAGTTGTGGTACCACCAGGCTCCACATTGCAGCAAAGGACTGAGATTGTTAACCCCACCTCCTAGTGCCTGACCAAGGCCATAATATTAACCCTATCTAATTAAGCATGAGCACTGTGTTTAGTTGTTAAGTTGTTTATTGGTTATTGGCTGGGATTGAACTATAGAGGCGGGGTAGGTACCACCAGGCCCCCCTTGCAGTGACTAAAACCATAATATTAACAATTCTGGGTCTTGTTCATTATAAGTTCCTTCTTTTTGTGTAGTTTTTCTTGCCTAGGGTTTCTTCTGCCTACTGATCTCAACCATGGTGATGCAGACCATGAACACAGGGTTGTGCTTCTATGTCAGTGGTATACGTTGTCATGTTTTCCCTCTGCTCTGTTCTCCCTGACCTGCTGGTCTCTGGATAAACACAGTGACACACACACACACACACACACACACACACACACACACACACACACACACACACACACACACACAGTGAGACATACAGGACAGACAGACTGACTGACTGAGTGGCCGGCCTTCTGAAGACAAATGAAATGCACGCACACACACACACACACACACACACACACACACACACACACAAAGATGACATCATGGCAAAGCCAGCTATACACTCTTAGGTTCTAGATAGCACCTTTTTTTCTAAAAGGGTTCTTCGGCTGTCCCCATAGGAGAATGCTTTGAAGAGAACCCTTTTTAGTTCCAGGTAGAACCATTTTGGGTTTCATGTAGAACCTTTCCCACAGAGGATTCTACATGAAACCCCAAAGGGTTCCAACTTGAACCAAAAAGGGTTTTCCCTCGAACCAAAAAGGTTTTCCCTCGAACCAAAAAGGGTTTTCCCTCGAACCAAAAAGGGTTTTCCCTCGAACCAAAAAGGGTTTTCCTATGGGGACAGACAAATAACCATTTTGGAACCATTTTTTCTGGAGAGAGATTATAGGAAAAAGAGAGCGAGAGGAGAGGAGAGGAGAGGAGAGGAGAGGAGAGAGGGGAGAGGGGAGGAGAGGAGAGAGAGGAGAGGGGAGAGGGGAGAGAGAGAAACAAGAGGGAGAGAGAGAGGAGAGAGGGGAGAGGAGAGAGGAGAGAGGAGAAAAACAAGACACAGCCCCAACAGACTC